ATGCAGGTTATCCAGGCACCTAGGAAGGTGGTACTCCATATGGTGAGATAAGATGACTCCAGTGTCAGATAACATCTGAGAAGCGAGTTTTGAATCAGAGCTTTGGCATAAGGTGTTTTGATGCAACCTCATCCTTGCCATGTTGGAACAAGTTCTCAAGCTACTCAAGTTGCTGTGTTCAAGTGTCCCAGTGCAATAAGGACCCTGACAAAGTAGCATTACAATTAAATAAATAGCATCATTTTCTGGATGGGCCTTACCAGGCAATAACCTATTTATGGCATTGTTCTCCAGCTTTTCAGTCTTCAGAGCCCTGGACCATTGATTCTCCCTGGGGAAGGGGACTCTTTTGGCATATGACAGTGCTGGAAACACATAGGTTATCATAGTACATCAGCAGAAAAAAATATATATGTTCCTCCAGCATTCTGCATTTCTTCTTTTAGCTGAAGCCACACTTTCCAGGTCAATATTTTTTCAATGCAATTACATCAGTGACAGTCAAGGAACTCTACTTACCAACATACTCAACTTTAAATAGTGGTAAGTTTTAAGTTTAAACATTACATTTTAAGGACACTCAAGCAGCTCCAGGCACACAGGTAAAGTTAAGGCTGTCTGTGGGAGCCTGAAGCACTCCTTTATAGAGCTTCATCAAAGTCAGGAGAGCAACACAGGCTTTGGTTGCTGTTTGATCATACTCTTCCCAGCCATGCACGTACATGAAGGATGTTCAGTAGCTGTGGAGAAAACGTGGCCTCTTATCTAGCTGAGAGGCTTTTCTCTCTGTACAGTACAGAAGCTTGAAGCAATGTGCTTCAAGCTACAGAGAGAACTCTGTAAGGGGATTTAAGCCAGAAATTAGAGATGACTGTAATCAGAGATGCACACTCTCCTGTTAATCTAAGACCCCCAACAAATCTGCACAGCAGGTCCAGTCCCACCGCATCTCCTCAGCCTTCTCCTTCCACAGTGCTTCCACCAGGGCTTTAGATATTGGAGCAAAGTCTCATCCTCCCCACCCCAAACATCAATGTGTTTTCTCCCGGCACTGCTAAGCTAAAAAAAGTCTTCCTGCCTTCCTCATCACTCGGCTGTGCTCATTTCTCATCATCATCTTCTCTGCCTGGCTGCTCTCTAGGATGCACGGTGACACTTTCCGACGGGCAGTTATACGTCCCCTGAGCAATGGTTTTGCTGCTTGACCCTGCCTTTCCCTCTCACTCCATCAGCACGCCCTGGATCAGTGACTGCGTTCGGTCTTAGAGGGAGGCTAAGAGTAGCGACACAGTAGCCATTGGGTAGATAAGCTTCAGTTAAGTCCCATTGAAGCGTCTATTACATGTAGACATATGTTAAATTAGAGACAACAGCTCCAAAGTCCCACAGTATCTTTTGCAATACCCAAATACCATTCGTACATAGCAGGTTAGTTCCAAATTAGGGACAATATTCTATTCATTGCTTGTGAAGAAACTAGTGCTGGGACAGAGTTATCAGAACATTTTCTTCTCCTCAGTTAGTCTGCTATCTCATTTTTGCAAACATCTGTGGACTCTGATTTGCATTAAATTAGCTTTTGGGATTATGTGCTCTCTTAGGCACTTCTCTCATGTGAAATATTTGCCTTAGCATAGCAAATGGGCTATTTTAGCAAACCCAACAATTTACAGTTCATGTTTACTGGTATAAACAATGTAGAATTATTGCATGAATAAAGGCATTTTGAATAACATAGTTGTCTTGACTGCACTGAACTGTCAAGAAACACTTCTGGCAAAGGTTTGATCTACCATGCAAGTCAACTTGATGTCTAAAAAGCACAGAAAGACAGACCGACAGAAGTTGGCAAAGCTGTTAAAGACTGAGGAGAGAATAGGGTTAGGATAGATAAACATGTCAGAGCAACAGCTTGCTGCCGTCAAATGGTGTTAATCTTGAACAGGATGGGATATATCAGGATAAAGAGAGGGCCGGTCCTTGCACTCTATGCCTAGCTTTCCACGTATTTCTAGGACATGTTGCCACTCCACGCTAGAATTCACGGAGCCAAGATGACGGTGTTCAAGCTGCATGGACACGTCCCACCACCTTTAAAACCCTTAGTCACAAATAACACACCACCAAGTCTGACTGCAGTTTCCTATTCAAGGGCTATATATGTATTTTGGAAATAATGGAACTCTACCAGAAGGCTAAGTCAGCTACATGACGGAGAAAGCAAAAATTCCCAGCTGCTGCTAAATTAATGACATAGCTTTATAGATGCTTGTTTGTCTTGACTTAGGCCCAAACAAATGAAGCTTTCTGGACAAACAGGCTTGCTTATGGTTACTGTATTCTTCAAGAATTAAACGGATAACGAGAGGACAAAGGCAGGCAGGCCTGGAATAAATTGTAACTTTATATAGTTTAATTTTTTTTGCAAAAAGAGACAAATGGCAACTGAGCTGCTTCTGCTAGAGGTTGGTAGCCTTGATGCCAAATGCGTGGCACAGTGTAGTTGCAAATAAAGAGCCGTGAAAACATGCACTGGAGAGAGAAAACATGTCCCACTGGAAGGCAAGATCAATATTTCAGAGATATCTACATACAAACCTTCTTGCTTTATTAATACTTACCAAGCCTTACGACTGAAGCCTTAAAATCTAAGAGGCCGTGATCGTAACTCTGCCAAAGCCGATAACGGATGTTATGTTTGTCCTGCAGACACGCAGCAGCAGCAAATCCCCCGCGAGCACCAGGTGGGCAACCCGCCTGGGCAGGAGCAGCTTCCCCCTTCAGCCTCTCTGCCCTGCCCTGCGACCGCCTTTGAAAGCCTCTGAAGCAGCACCACTCGTTCTGCACACACAGCTTTCCCGGGCAGGGACTTTTTTTTGGCCTTAGCGAGAGAAGAGCAGCCCAAGTATGTCCCATCTCTCCCCTCCCTATCCCAGAGCAAACTGGGGTTTTTAATGGCTGTTTTACCTTCTCCTCCCTTCCTCTCCCAGCCTTGGTGGTGGGAGAGGCCACAAAGGAAGCCCGCATGGCATAGGGCCCACTGTTAGAAAATTTAAACTGAAATTGAAACAGCATTAAGTCAAAAGGAGATTTTCCTTGATTAAGTTTATTCATGTGCACATGGACATTATCAGTTTTAACAAGCAAAACAAATATTCAAAGAGGCATGATCTAGGTGAGTCGTTTTTTCCTGTACCAGTTACAGAGACAACATAGCTACCTGTGGCTGTTTCACACCTCCGGCAGAGCTGTAGCTGCTGTTGACCAGATGTTGCTCAGGAAGGGACAGTACAGGCTTTAGTGCTGGTGCTTTGGCCTTGCAACTCATCTGGACCGAAGGGGTGCTGCCGGAGGATTTCCAAACAGCTCCCTTTCCGATGGTGGCGGTCTGACGTTCGTCATGCAAACAGATGCGGCTCCCGGCTGCCAGAGCAGGCCCAAGGGCAGAGGCAGCATCCGACTAAAGACATAGGCATCAGACACCAAGACTAGTGGGACCGCTAGTCCCAAGGGACTAAAGAGAGAGGGAAAGTGTCAGGGGAGATTGAACCCAAGGGAAACGGCAGGCTGGGGAGGCGGCGTAAGGAGCAGGGAGCTGTAAGCGGCGAACAGCAGTGGAAAGGGTTATGTTCCCACAGGGCTCCGTCCAGCAGCTCTGTAGATACACCAGTTGGAGCAAGCCCATAAAGAGAATTTATGCAGCGCTAAGGAGACAAGGTTGGTCAAAATCCCAAAGAATAAATTATAGCATGGAAAACGGTCAGGAAAAGGGAGTCAGTAGGAAGTGAGATGGAAGCTGACAAGCGAGAAGAAAAAAAAGATCCTTGGAGCAGATCAGCCTAGGATTAGTTTCACCCATTTGTAACCGCCGTTACGTCACCCTTGCACTGCTTAGTGTTTTTATCCTTCCTGATCTTTTGCAAATCTGAGTGGTGAGTTGCTTTCATTTCATCTAGAGAGCTGTGGTATTTATCAGTTATTCAGAAAAAAAAGTTTCTCAGTTGTAAACAGATAGAGGTTGAATCAAACTACACAATTTGGACCAAGGATCACCCCAAGCCCTTCAAACCTGGGGGGCTGCATTCAGGTCCAGGGTTTCAGTCAAAGCCCTTCTTCCTATGTGTGTTGAAGATCACTACAGTAACACTCCAGTTCAGGCAGAAAAAATGCTGTTGGGACTCAGTAGTAATCCTTCCTATGAGCAGATTTTGCAAATCCCACTCTGTCATTCCCACGGTCAAAAATGCAGTAAAACGCAGACATAAAGACATCTCCTAAAATCCAGAGCGGGCCTGTGCGAGTGGTGATATCCAGAGACTGAAAGCCACTCATGCAGAAGGTTTGGTCTTCAATAGACTCCTGCAAGGGAAAGCACATTTCCCTCTAGCGGCCCGTAGCTCGCTCGCTGCAGCAGCAGAGCGCTTGCCAGGCCGCCCATACGCACCTTTACCACATAGTGCTCAGCCGTCAGCTTGTATTCGTGGTGTCCAATAGTGAAGCTGATGTGAGGCAAGCTGGACAGTCTTCTGCAGTCTACGAGAAACTGTATGCAATGCACTGATTGATACATGATGAGGTTTGGGTTTTTCTTTTTAATATTGTTCTTTGAACTCAAGAATTTTGCAGCAGCTAATGGTGAATTTGCTACCAAAACCACCGTGAGGCTGATTTACAGCCCAGCATGGCCAGCCCGCTTTCCAGTTCCCGCACTGGGTCAAACCACACTACCAGCCTGCAGCTCCTGCACCCCTAGGAATTGGGCTGACAAAAACCCTCCCAAGCCCCAAAACGTGGCAAGGTGAGGGAGGCACCCTGACCCGTGCACAGCTCGGATGCAAGGCCAAGCTCGTGAGCACCCTGGTCCCCCCTGCGAAGGAGATATGAGCAAGCTCTGCCGAACAAAACTCCTCCGATGCTCTGGCTGGGGCTCAGCCTGGGAGCTGCCTCCAGCCGGCGCAGTCAGCATCTCGCAGCTGCGGCTCTGCCCCTCCGTTCAGCAACATCATATTTTTTTAGAAAAAGGGGCCCATGCAGAAAGCCTGTGAGGAATACCTAATTTTATACTTTACTCTTCCCTGGAGTGGAATTTGAAGCACAGAACAAGGCCTAAACTCTGGCATGGCCATTAATTTCTCTAAATATTGCATTCACTTACAGTAACACAGAAGATCATTTCCTGGCCTCTCTATTTATTTCATGAAACAACTGGGATATTAAATGGCGCTGCAGAATGCTCCAAGCCCCAGAGGGATCTTTGCTGTAAACTGTAGTATTTAAAGTCATTGTTTTAGAGGCTTCCCGTAAGGAAGAGTCCTCTTTTTTGTTGTTAAATCTGCTTTATGAAAACATGGTACTAAATATTCTGTATGCCTATCAGGTGTCATACCATCGGTGCAACAAAATAAACCAGGGGATACAGAGGTCGAGGGTAACAGAGCTGCTCAAATGCAAGAGTAGGATATGAGAAGCAAGACGTAATTTCATTTCCATAGCTAGTATGTCTAGGACAAATGATTCTTTGCTGGAAATAGGTGGAAGTTCTGGTAAAATCACTGATAGATGCACATAACTATACCAGGATACATCTGAGCCAATATACTTAGTCTATCTGTGGTTGGTACAAAACCAGTGAGGTGTTTTGTTTTGGTTTTTTTGCCCAAACTGAGATGCTTGCTGAGTGCTATTTGCTCAGCGCTGTCTAAACATACGCTCCAATGCCCTGCTTCTTGCGCCATTTGCATTAATACAGCTACATTTGTAACACATTTTGTCTATGTCCCTTTGGGTGTGTCATAAAAATATAGGCTTGATATCAAAACGTCCTCTTTGACACGTATCTGAACATTAGGGTGAAAACAAAATTTACGATTTAATTGCAAAAGAAGTCAGGAGTCTCGTGGGTTACAGGGGTGCAACTCCAAGTCTTCCGCTTAACAAAAGGCGGCAGATTTAAAACAGCACTTTTCTCTCTGATCTTTACCCAGCGCCATGGGGGCTCGGGGGGGGCTGACAGCTGCAGCCAGGCACTTGGAAAGGCAACGTTAACCCCGAGCTGCAGTGATGCAGCGATTCCTTAGACAGGTGCCCCCGTTATGTCCTTCCACGCCGTGACCGAAGAGCGTTGAGGAGGACACGGGCGCGCGGGAGGCAGCAGCCCGGCTCTGCGTGCGCTGCTTTCTCTGAGCCCCCTCCTGAGCTCCCATTTTAACTATCTTCTCCCTTCCAAAGACTTTGCCTTCCGCCTCAGCTGTTTTCTGGCCGTATTGTTTTTACCTCTCCCGTCTGTGATGGACTTGCCCCAATATACTCCTGTAACCGCCTGATTTGTGAAGAGGGGCCAGTGATAAGAGAAGTGCCCGAGTCGACGATGGCTTCGCAACCGTGGGAGCAAAATGCCACCTGGCCCTGGATCTTTATACTGCAAGTGAAAAACAAAACACCTTTAAGCAAACAGTACATACACTGTGACGGAAACAACACCTTACTGCTAGCTGGAGCGCCGAGTCAAGCTTTCACCGTTTGGAAAGACAAGGACGTCTTTAAAACACATGAAAGTAATAAAAGCAAACAGCATTAGGAAGACTTCTCCTTGAGGGACCCACTTTTCTGTCGTAGGACTCCTGTAGCCCTGATCGTTTGCTGCCTGCTGATGAACTTGTGCTCCCCCACAAGGTCTGCGTCCTCCTCGTTGTACAGAGGAGGAACAGGAACAACAGGACACCGACTTGCTTTGACCAGGGTTAGAAAGCAGGAATACAGCAGCAACCGGAGCTGGATTCAGTTCTTTGGTGCCTTACCCCCTTACCTGAATAATCTCCCAAGAGTCAACTTGACCAGTGGGGTGTCATATTAAAACCTATTAAAATGCCCGACAGAAAGCAGCTCCCCACGCCACAGCAGAGTTAGGAGGCTGATGCTTCTCAGGGCCCCGCCAGGAAGCCCCTTCTTCGGGAGGAGCAGAGGCAAAACGCCGCACTGAGGCCTTCAGTCTGCAGTGCTTTCTCCACAGGTTTTACCCGGACAGGTGAGTTTCACCGGGCGTTTCATGCATACATACCTGTTCAGATGTATTTGCCAGTAGCTTTTCTCAGTGACGGGGACCCAGTGAATGGAGCCTTTGTAGAGGGAATGGTCTATACCGCCCAGGATCAGCTCACCACCGTTCTCGCTGTCGTCTCCTCTAAAAACAGGACGCGAGTTAACAGCGGCGCAAGAGGAGGCCAACAAATACCGATGAGATTACATGTTAAAAAGCAAAAGGTGGGCCAGGGCCCTTTCTAGATTCATATATGGATGGCTGAAACAGATTATTTTGAAATTATAACTGAGTATGTCCCCCTACAGAGCACCCAAACAGCCCCTGAGAAAACTTACCGTCGGTTGCTGAGGACTAAAGACAGATGTTAGGAGCAGCCTGAGCCAGCTGCTGGTCTCACCTCAGAATAAATACTAGCTAAATCTGTGCAGTTGCAGCTAGGTTTAGACTAGGGAACAAAATTTCTCCTCTGAAGTGTGGCCACTTGGGTGTAGCAATGCATTTCTGTTCTTCTCCACCAGCCAAAAGAAAATCACTGGCAACACAAAACACTTCAAGGCTGAGCTAGGGGTTTTTGTTTTGTGTATGATGAGCTCTGGCAAGAACAGCTGTTTGTTCAAAAAAAATTTGTGGTTCCCTCCAACACACTTTTTCTTTTCAACCCCTTTTTTTCAGTGGTGAGGTGAAAAAAATGAAGAAAATGGGAAGGAATCCACCAGCCTCCAAAAGCGAACTGTTTTTTTACCAATTTTCAACAGATAGGAGTTTTAAGTGGGGGGACTCCTCTTTTTCTTTTTCTTCCCCCCTCCTTGAATCTTTGTATTTAAACATATAGCCCATCCAGAATGCAGATCTGAACTTTCTCACTTTTTTCATTCTTTGTATTAATTACATATAATATAGCAGAGATAGAAAGAGGGCTAAAACAACAGGTATTTTAAAGACACAGATTTGGTAGCATTTTCAGACACAAGATTTTAGCTGCTTCGCTTCCCCACTGATCTCTCTTTCTAGACACGCTCCGGAAAATTATTTTCCAGAGTTGAAGACTTATACAGATGCCAAGTTGTCTCTATCTGCAGCTAAAATATATTTGCCTTTTTTTTTTTTTTTTTTAACATTGCGACTTTTAAGACTGACCTTTTCAGATAGAAAGAAAAGACTGGCTTCTCCTCCAGCTGCTGGTTCATGATGCTGTCAAACACCGGCAGAGCGTTGCCCACCACTAAGGAAGGGTATCCTAAACCCAGCACCCCATCAAAGTGGGCCAGGGCAAAGGTTACTCCTGGCTCAAACACAGACTCGCCAAAGTCCTGCCCCTTGATGGAAATGTTACTAATCTGTTCAGCCCAAAAGAAAAGAACAAATAAAAGTAAAGTCAGTATCAGTATGAGTCGTATCGACTCATTCAGTTTATTAAATGTACTGGAAAGAGCCTGGAGGTCCTTGCGTGACTTGCACATACAGCTTGTGCCCGGCTGGTGAGAGGCTGTACACCTTCCTTTTAACGTCTTAATTCTGGGGCTGCTTTTTCACGAGCCTGCGCCAGGAGGACATGCAAAATGAAATCTTGGGGATTCATCCTGTCTGGGGAGCACAAGGCAAAAGCAGCAGCTGCTCCAGTGCAGCATGTCCTGAAGGGCACTGATGGCTCGCGCCGGTGCCAGGAGGCCACCTTGCATCTCCCAGCAGAGATGGCACCTACCTGCACCTCTGGGCACCTCTGGGCACCCCTGTTGGGGGCACCTCGGATGTGGCCTACAGGTGAGCCCTGCAACCCAGAGGGTCTGGGAAGCCTGGGCTCTGCATTAATGAAGTCTGGGGCACTTAATCTGCGTTACGTTTCACAAGCGCCTTTTCTACAGCTGAAAATGCACGTTGTATTCAGACTGCCCATTGCTCCAAATGCCAGGCCCAGGTAGCGCGATCCTTACCTCACAGCACTAGCCAACCTGCTGCTGCAAAACCTGGGGGTTTCCTGCAAATCTGGGCTCTCCCGTGCTGCTACAGAGCAGGGAAGTAGTGCTGTCAACCGGGGTCTCCCCACAACAGGAAAAATAACCTCCCTCCTTGCGCAAAGCAGGGCCCAAACCAGATAAGGCCTTGTAGGATAAAGCCAGTATCTGATCTGCCTTGAAAACTATTGACCTGGATGCTGATGCCCATTTTAGGTAGACACTCACCTGCAGCGTGTCTTTGCCAGCAATGCCCAAAAGCTGACCTGTGCCATACTGCAAGGAAAAGGCTTCCCCTCCGTGCTCGTATGAATCCGACAGAAAGGACTTAAATCTCTGGTGCACCCCTACACAAAGCAAAGCAAATGACACCTGCGTGTGGAGGGACGGTGCTGGGAAACTCACCCCGCTCCCCAGCACAGTACTGGCCAACGCGCAGGTAAAGCAGATTTTGCTTCTCTCGTAAGTAACACAGCGATGGAGGCTGCCCGTCAGCCTATAGGCACCACGGCTTTTCTGTTCTCAGGACACCTCAGGGGTTATTTTTAAATGCAAACAAAAAATCAAAACAAAAAAAAACCCAACATTTCCACAGCTATTTGTAGCTGTTGCTGGTTTCTTTTGCTGCCTTTCTCATCAGCCACCTGCTGGTGCAGAAGGCCTTTTGGCAGCTGCAGCTGGTGTCTCTCCTGGTGGCGGGGAGGCACGAGGGAACAGGAACGGCAGTGTCTAGCGGCGCGAGAACCAATGTTTGGGGGGCTCCGAATACTCCCCTCCCACCTCCTGGCAATTTCACACAGCAACCTCTGGCCCTTTACTGGACCTGAGGAGCCCTCATGCTCATGGGGCGTCAATAGAAAAAGGAGGGTTCCCCCACTAGGCCTGTGCCTGCATGAAGATTTAGGCTGTGGCCTTCCCAGAGGAGTACACCGAATTGCGGCATGCCTGAGTTGGAGTCCCTGACTGCCAATATTTTACAGGGGAAACTGCAGCCATCTGGCTGCAACACATCACTCTGGGATTTCACATCTTCATGGTCCAGGAGGAAGATGCAAAAGACCCGGGGCCTCAGGGTCGGTGCACGCGGGCCGACCTCGCCACCGCGACATGCAACAACGTGAGGGTCGGGCGAACGCCAATGGCAGGGGCTCCCCCTGGGACACAACACCATTTCTTGTGCCGGGGAGCTCCTTCAGGAAGGAGAAAGGGCCACCTTACCCGAGACATGGACAGTGTAAGGGACCGTAACGTTTCTTACTGCACGCTTCGCTGATGCAATAAGCGGAGGGGACCCAAAAGTTGGACGATCCCGTGTCAAACACCACTGTGAACCTCTGAGGTGGCGTGCCAACGCTCACAACCCCGTAGTACTGAGCCTGGGGGAGGGAAAAGCCAGTTAGGTGAGCACTACCTCAGGTAAGGTAAGTTATTCTTCAGAAAAAGACAAGACTTTGAGGCATAATACAATGCTTTCTCAAGGTTTTCAGTGCACCTTGATTTAAACCCAAATGAACCCTGTCTCTGCTGGGCAAGGAATTATTTCTGGCTCCACGGGTGACTGCTGACAGCAGATTTCACTTCAGCTGCATGTATAGGAGTGCAGTGTTTTAAAGCATTTTAAGCACATGTTCAATCCTGTTCCCAAGGAAGTCAACGAGCCGTCTTCCTCTGATTTCCAGGGAAGCAAGGTCATCCCCAAAGCAAAGCTCCCACAAAAAAATGCAGCCTTTTAGGTAGTTCCCTATCGATATCAGTACAAAATCGGTGATGCAAAGCCAGTAAGATCCAGCTCCGCCAATGACCAAGGGCACAGCCAGACCGACAGTGCAAAGGCCGTCGCAGGGGGGCCGTGCTTTTTCCTTTGAACACATTGTAATTAGTCGTTAGCAAGTTAAAATGAGTTCTGGCTTCACAAACTGTATCAGAGGCAGTGAACAAAGTTTATCAAGTGGATAAAGAAACCACTGAATGTCCTTGGATATCAACAGAAGATAGAGGCAATCTGTGAACACGTGAACTCTGAAGTGAAGCCAGAGTGCGAGCGTCTAAGTGCCCCTATCTGGCCAAGAAAGAGCACTTGAGCATTAAGAGACCTATTTTTAGGAAGAGGCATTTCTGGAATTCAAACGCAGATAGAAAAGTAATATCCAGTGCCAAGTCTTTTGTAGCAACGCAAATATTTGAATGTGTAGCTTCAAGTGCATACTTGTTAATTAATACACAAAGTATGGTTTCTGGCCCCACAGTTCCGTGCTAAATGAGATAGTCACTAAAAACGCAAGCATGCCTGCCATGTAGCAGCACACCCAGCCGCACAGCAGGATTTTATTAGTTATTGTATTAAATAAATCTTTATTGCTAAATCTTCAAAGTGAGGCAGCTCTGCATAGTGTTGGTCAAAAAACCCAAACAAAACATAAGCACACTGCACCAAAACCTCCACAAGCCTGCTACTGGTGGTTGTTTCACATGCTGAGGAAGTGTTCTCTGTTTTGTTATTTTGATACTTATGTTATTTTGATAAGCTTTAGAGATGGCTGCCACTTTTCAGTCTCTTTTGTTCTTCTTCGCACACACATCTATCTCATCTTCACACATTTCTTTACAGCCCTCAAGTGTCAGGATGTTCTTGCTGAATTAATTTATCTTTCCTTTCCCTGTTCAGGCGCAGCCTTCACAGCAATTTCTATAACTTAGCCTTCCTTTAGATAAACATTGCAGCAGTATCAAATAAAATAGAAAACAGACCCACAAAACAGACAAAATGCTAACACCAGGAAAAACAAATTACAAAAATGGCTGACCTGCTAAGCTGCTATCTGAGATCTGCCAAACGTGTTTCTTCTTCAGTTTTTCTTCAGTTTAAGTGCTAAATTCACCCAGGTTAGTGTTTGGCCTAAGTCTTCATCAAATACCCGTTAAACTCAAGAGATAAAAGCAGAAAAATAAAACTACTACTTGGGTCTTTAATATTGCTGATCACACTCCATGGGATCAGATAAATGAGATTTTTTTTTTAATAACATGCAAACATCCAAGCCTCTGATAAATAGCATATAGCTAAATGAACTAATCAGATTCTGCTACTAAAAATCCAATCCCGAACCAAGATGACTGCCGGCAGACCTTTCCCATTTGTTTGGGGACTCAACAAACTCCAATACAGGCTTACACAAAAATTAAGCTGTCCCAGGACTGCCATTGCTAGGTTACATCAGCGTTCTACCTCTCCTAACCTCGTTCTGTGTACGTTTTGTGTTGCAGACTGGTAAATGAGTTATTGGTCATTTAGTAGGTATAGTGTACGGCAATGAGCCATTCATCTCAAGTGCTATAATTTCACTGAGCAATCAAATGTGCCGGTGGAAAAAAAAGCTACCTTCAATAGAGCAAAGAGTCCTTATGCTTATGTTACCAAAAATGTACTTACATTCATGTAATCATACAGCCTTTCTGAAGCGGTTCCTACTGATAAGGCAATATCTGCAGGGAAGCAGTGCAGGTACCTCCGAGCAAAAATGTCAGGGTGGTGATTTCTCCAGAACTCCTCTAATTCTCCCTTTTCTTTCAGCTGTTTCTTGATAGATTTAAATCGAACGAGAGGTATTCTAAGCGAATAAAATCAATGCATAAAATGTTAACGGGATCTCCTTTCTAGACAGCTCAAATATGTATTTTTTCCCGTTGTTTCTTTCTGAACGCCTCAGGCAGCAGCATGCCGAGGTCACTGCAGGAGGTCAGCTGAGACACAGTCCCGTGATGCCGGACATCTTTCCTTACCGTTCCAAGGCCACGGTGAACGAGATGTAAACCACAGCCAATAGTATCACCCTCATGGTTTCAAGCGGTTTCAGAGTCTAATGACACTCATTGACTCCGAAGTCTCTTTTTTATACCTCATTGGCAGCAGAGGGCTCTTGGCCAGGTCAATCAATCACCAGAGGTCAGTGCTTTGGCAGAAAACTCATTAATGTGTTCTCAGAGTAACCGCTGGATTGTGTAAATACTGGTGCCCGGTGAAAAATACTAAGGCACAGATAACCAGGGCACAGTCTAGACTAAAAATACATGTTACTAACAAGCATTAATATCTTTTACATAAATATAATGAATGGGGCAAGCTTGGTGTCTCTTGGCATGAGGAAGGGAAGGCAGTCCAAGAAGTTGCCTGGTTCCCTCCGAGCAAGCTGCTTTTCAAGCTCCCTTTAGTGACAGGTATCACAGAAGTGCCCAAGGCAGAGAAAGAGGACCTAAACTATAGCTGTGTCGCTTCTATACGGAGACTTTTCAAGTGGGATCGAACACAGAGACGTTTGGTGGTGCTGTGGCAGGTCATCCCCTAACAGCTGAAGATTAATTCCCTATTTATGTGAAAGTTCTAGTCCAAATATAAATGTGATTGCCACCCAAAGCAATGGATCTCAAAAGTCAAAAAGCTGACAGTCTGCAGCATAAAGTACTAAATAGCCAGTGGTTTTCTCCTCTCACGCAGCTGCTAAGGCCGTTTCTAGTTGAAGCGCTGTTGTACACATTTCAACGAGGCATTTGGAATCGCTCGCTTGGATTTATTTTCTCATGAGTTTCCTGAGGCTGGCAGTTCCCATCCCTACCTGACATTTGGGTTTTGAGTCAAGTCAGCAGAAAAATAAGGGTCTCAAAAAGAGATTCTGATCTGACAGAGGGCAAAAAAGCCCATTAGATGTCTGTGAGGAAGCTCAGCACTGAGTCTGCGATTTACTTAAGAGATTTTCTGAGTCCTTCCTCCGTAAGAGAAAGCGTGAGCAATTTTACACTGCAGAATAGAATACATTAAGGCTAAATATGAATAATTAGCCATTTTTGTTTGAAAATGCTGGGAAAAGAGCAATGACAATTTTTTCCATGTTCCCCTGCACTTCAACACTTAGTTAAAAATAGACTACTCACAACATGAAGGAGAACTGGAAATAAATAATCCACCTTCAGAAAGGGATAAAATACATGAAATTGCACAAAACAAATTTCTGGAACATGCAAAAGAAAGAAGTAATCATATGCTCTAACAGTAAAGTTCCAGTAAACAAAACCAACAAAAACAAAGAAGCATATGGTATTTGTGAGAGGTCCAAACACCAGTTACAGATTTTAAATAAACGTAAAACAAATAATTATCAGTATAGAGTAAAGATATTTTTAAAATTGTTCCTCCAAGCCTCTTCCCTTTAATATGTCACCCTGACTAAAAAGAGGCATAAGAACCGTAAAAATAACAAAGTTAAAGCTCTCCTCATTAGTCTCTCAGATTTTAAAATATACACTTTACTTTTTCTAACTTACCTCCGAAATTGTGAGGGCTAGAAAAACTGTTCCCAGCAAAGGCTGAGTCTGGTGCAGTCACCCAGCTGCAGAGTCTTGGATCTAAGAAAGCACCAGGATCTACAGTCAAATCACTGCGTTATCTTTTGTTTCAAGAAACAATCTCTAAAATACAAGAATAATAAGGTATAGTTTTTATATTGATTTACATTCTCTTGCGATTCTTTTTAGAAGTGTCTAGCTTAGAGGAGAGTTCACTGCTTCTTCTAGACTCAGAAGTTATGTGCAAGTTTTCAGTGAGGAATGAAGTTTTCTGTCCAGCCACCATGCTCAAGAGCTGCGCCCTGGAAACGAGGACCAAACTGGCTCCAGAGACGAGACTAGCAAGTAAAGATGGGAGCAGGGGAATAGATGTGGTCAGCTGGGGGATTTCAGAAAGCACAGACTTCGCCTGAGAAGGCTCCCCAAACCCCCTCGCACGTAGCCGAGCAGATGCCATGCCCTCTGCTACGGCAATGTCACTTTGACAAGAGCAAGACAATGGCTGCGCTGAGCGCCTTTATCTCCTGAACTTTTCCTCAAATGCCACAAATGCTTCTGGGAAGTCATTCAGACTCGTGTTGTAGGGCATCAGGGATAACTCTGAAGACATGAAGTGACTTTCAAAATACTGCACTGGGTCTACAGAAGGGGCTGCTTTTGCCTTATGTCCTCCACTGAGTCACCAGTTCTCAGAAGGATCACTTATTGCAGATGGAGCCCTTTGTTATCCCACCGGCAGGAAGGTTATTTTTTCCCAAATACTGTGATCTCACAGTGTGTGCCAAACAGACTTTCATTTAGCCAACAGAGGTACAAAATGCAACAACAAAAGGTCATTGTGACTTTTTTTGATAAGCTGGAATAATGATTAAACTACAATGCGGAGAATCCCTAAGAGATATTTACCTGAAGCATAAAAGTTTCACTAATCAGCAGGATATCTGTCTAAGGGACATATTTTTGTCCTGGATGTACGTTCTACCACTCAGCCTTTATTACTTACGCCAAAAGCATTTGCTTTTTCATACCTCTAGTACACAGCATCTTAATAGGGCAGGTAACCTTGTCTTTAAAGGGTGCCACAGCTTCTTAGAAGTGCAAACAACTACAAAAGCCTGCTGAGGCCCATAAGAACATCTTCTTAAAAATCAGAACGTATTCCAGGGTAATTGCTGTGAAATCCAGAAATAATACACTTTCCCTATGGTAGTCCTCTGAAAGGGTACGCCATATTACGGTATTAAAAGAGCGGCAATTCTGTGAAGCTTATTTCCTGCAAACTGGCTCTTATCGCTGGCATGCTACACATAGGGTCCATCCTACATTTTGTAGCTAGAGCATTTGCAATGTCACTCTTCCACAGTGAGGCCAAAGACAACTAGAACGTAACTTTGTCCTCCAGGCTTGAAGTTTCTGCCCAACTCCTCAGTCCAAAACCTAGTTTGTGGCACTCAGGTTGCAGCACTTGCTGCTCTCTGTCCGGCTGCAGCACTGGCCCTTCTCCTTCTTCACCAAACACCTCCATACATTTCATACCAGCACCTCTGCATGGCACAGCCACTTATCTCACAGGGAAAAGATGAGTAAACATCCTGTAGCCGATATCCAATATTTAGTTAAGAGCTGCTTTACGTTTAAAAGCAAGTGATGGTAGTAGAGCTCTGTGTTGTCAGATTTGACCGGAGATCATGAGGCCACCTTAACTGTTTAATATTGTCGTTTTCTCAATCTTCTGTTTGTTCTACCTTTTATTTTTCCAAGCATACATGGCTCTCGGCAATCATGTATTTTGTGTGTGTAGCGACTAACTCCCGGAAACCGGCTGCAGGCTGTTTGAAGAAAATATCATTCCTAAATTATGGTAAGTGTGGAAAATGTCAGCGCTGAGCTGTAGATATCAAAGGAGACAGCTGGAAAGACTCACAGTTAAATGCTCTGCCAACTTTGAAATCCAAAGATCTTGGGAGAGCAAAGGCAGAGACGCAGGTGGGACAAGCCACAAGAAAGCTTGAAAGCAGCAGCTCCAGAGGTCAAAGGCCACAAAGACGTCTACGCATTGGCAGCATCTCCTAGAAAAGAGGTGCTCGGGCCCAAAGCAGCGTGGGTCTGGCAGAAATGAGCAGAGCAACAGTCTCCATGGCGCAGTTGCATCTAAACAGTCATAACTAAAAGCGTGACTCTCAACGTAACTAAATCCAGGGCAGCTTCTTGCTAGGTAAGTACGGACGTGGGAATTGCAGTAGCGCAGTCCGAAGAAAGCAGAACAGCCTTGGCAGGTTGTGATGGTGAATGTATCAAACCGGGATTCAGCTGAGAAGCAAAATATAATCTAAAGAAAAAGGCCCTACACAGTTAAGAGTGCCAGATGCTGTAGTAAACACAGTTAAATTAGGAACATAAATACTCGAGCAGCTAAAGATAGCGGTTTGCCAAGTATTTGTGTTAAAGGTTTAAGATATGCACTGGGTGGCAAGTTACATTGTTAAATTATGTATTTGGCACCTTGCAAAGTAAATCCATAAAAGTGCCACTCGTCTGGAAAGTTAGTCAAGTCTTGACAGGTATTTTAAACAACAATTAGATTACATCTGACATTTCCGCTGAAAGTTGAATAAAAGCTAAACATTTAAACATTTAAAAATTTGGTCTTTGGTGATGTTTACTTTCTTTAGCCAATCCTCACAGGCAATACCAACTGCACAGACAGCATAACCATAGCAAAAGGTGAGGGGTGGGGGCATCTGAGAGGCTATGTGGGGCAAAATTTGAGAACATTTATAGCGTGCAAGAAGAGGGAAGATGGATGGTTTTCTGGGTGAGCAGAGGGGGAGGAAGGGGAGGGAGCGAGACTGCGTGTGAGCGAGAGAGGGAGACCTGTACTCTAAGTCATGATGTCCGTAATCCCCATCACCAAACACTCATTCGCTTATCAGAAACATTTCAGAGCCCTTGAGATTAATGGCTGGTGCCATGTAAACAGAGCCTTATATTGGGAGGAAGGAGGCACCAGCAGACCAGTGCACAACAGGAGACAACCAGGGAGGGCCCCTCTCCCTCGCAGCCCCGGGGATTTCTGAACAAAGAAACTCCCAGGATGGGCAACAGTCTGAAGGCGGTTGTTGCTTTTGTGCCTTCTAATGAGTGCCAGAAGTACCTCCTGGAAGACCTAGAAGAGATGCCAGCGGATAAAATGGTAGATCTGAGCGGCAGGCAGCTGAGAAGGCTCCCTCTGCACATTTGCTCTTTTAGGGAGCTGGTCAAGCTATACCTGAGTGACAACAACCTGAACCACCTCCCCCCCGAGCTGGAGCAGTTGCAAAACCTACAGATCCTGGCACTGGATTTCAACAACTTCAAAGCGCTGCCCCTGGTCGTGTGCACACTGAAGCAGCTGTGCATCCTCTACCTGGGCAACAACAAGCTCTGCAACCTGCCCCTCGAGCTCCGGCTCTTGCAGAACCTCAAGACCCTCTGGATTGAGTCCAACTGCCTGCAGTACCTGCCCGAGGTGGTGTGTGAGCTCAGCCTCCTCAAGACACTGCATGCCGGCTCCAATGCGCTGCGTGCACTCCCCAGCCAGCTGCGGTGCCTGCAGGAGCTGCGCACCATCTGGCTCTCGGGTAACCTGCTGTCTGAGTTCCCCCCCGTGCTCCTGCACATGCCTTTTCTAGAGGTGATCGACGTGGACCGCAACGCCATCCGGTACTTCCCCAGCCTGGCTCACCTCCCTGGCTTGAAGCTGGTGATCTACGACCACAACCCCTGTCGGAACGCACCCAAAGTGGCCAAAGGGGTGCGCAGGGTGGGGAGATGGTCAGAAGAGAGTCCTGAGCCCCGCAAGCGGTCCGGGGCCCTGGTAGACATCTCACCCGAGGACATGCCGTTGCCACCTCCCACCGACAAGCCCGAGCTGGAGATAGAGCCTTGCTGACTGTCAGCCACCTGTTGGCAAAGATGGACACGTACCCACAACACCCTCGCTTGCTTGCTTGCGTCTAGAGAACAACATGCCACCTGGCTAGTCTTCAGGGTAGGTGCAACGGTTTAGAGCTAGGTAACAGCAACACTCTTTTACAGACACCCCCCTTCAGGTGCAGCACCCAGCCCTCTTTCTCTAGAGCCAAGATTTACTCCCTTTGCCCCCTCCTGCCATGTGGGGACCACTACGAGTTTGCAGTAGAGATGAAGACTCCATTTCAATGTTTCCCAGTGTTTTGGGTGAGCTGTACAGACCCCGTACAGACCCCATTCAGACTTGCTTTTCTTCACTAGAGGTAGCCCATGCACTCTCTCTCCCTCCCCCACTCTGCTGAGGCGCCTGAGCCCAGCTGGAAGCCACTGTGGAAGGTGATTATGAAGCGCAGAACACGCTGCTGAGGCGCACCTTTAACCCACAGCGTTTGTCTCAAGTGACTTCAGTTTGAAAGGCAGCAACAGAAATAACTGTGACAGTTTCCCTTCCCACCGCACGGGAAGGGCTCGCGGACTCCTGGCTGCACTACCCAGGAAACAGCACATACCAGCAAGCTCTCTTCTTACAGCTGCTATCTTCTTTCCAGAAAATGTGTGCGACCATTACTGTTTCATTATCTCCAAGTAATATTTAAAGTGATTATGAGGAAAGGTAGGGGCTTTTTTGCTAGTATTTACATAACCACTAACACTACCTGTAAAGATAACAACACAGGTCAAATTTTCATGCAGTAGCAAAGAAGAAAATCAAAAGCTGACTAAAATGGAAAAACTGCAAGAGCTGCAAAGGTAAACTTGCCTGAATAACACCTAAGATGGGAGCCCGCTCTTACAAACTTGCACAGAAGAGGAAGTTCAGCCAATTTTTACTTGGTTGACTTCAGCATGATATTTCTCCAGTTCATAAAGCTGAGACCTGTTTGGATTTCCTTGGAAATGCACAGAAAACATTTTCCACCCCCCCCCCCCCTTTTTTTTTTTTTAAATAAAGGTATGTTTGAGAAATACAGAATAGTAACCTGGCTCAAAACGACTTGACGCTTCTAGCTTTTCATTTCATAGCACCGAGCATTCAATTTAGTAAGAGACAGGTTTTTTTAAGCCCTTAGTGGAGCAGAACAGCCACTTTTCCCCTTCCTTCATTTGTCAGGGGGAACTTTCTTACCACCACAGCATGCAAAAGTGACAGTTGACGTCCCATAAACGGTTTGATTCAACGCCTGTTCACGACTGCTTGATATCATTTACATTCTTTGAAAAATTATCTGGAAATATACAGACTCAGTTAGCACTTGCTATCTTGTTAAGTAAAGTCTGAATTTGGACCTGGTTGGCACCCATGTAATGTAATTACTATTCATTAAATTAATTTTACTAGTCTTACTGAGTTTAACTATTTTTCTTTGGAAAGAACCGATTTACCTTTTTTCAGATTCCTTATCTAACTCTGTTTCAACAAACTATTTCTTTCAACAAAGAAAAACTATTCAACAGGATGAGTTTTACTTTTTGTTTGCTTTTTTTAAATATCAAAATCAAATGTTTCATTTTCTAAAGAACAGTCATGGTACTCTTACTTATCTTGGGGGTGAGGGAAGAATGTGCTTTCACCTGCCTTTTAATGATTTATATTTAATGCAGTACTCTTCAGGACAGTAATGTCACTTTTGGTTGTTTGAAGAGAGCCTATTTTGAGAGTTTGGAAGAGTATTTCATAAGCAGATGCTCTTCGTTTCAGGAAGTCTAGGGGAAAAAAAAATGTTCGCACAGATACTTTCTTGATTTGAAAGTAATCCTCCTGCTTTGGCAGCCTTCCCCTGTTACTCGTCAAGGTGCTGCTTTACACTTGGAACAGCCAGGCAGGTCATACTGCCCAGCTGGCACCTCTTTGCATGTTACTGTGCAGACAGGGGTGCTTCTGCTTGTTGCTGCTTACAGCTGTCATTGAGAATCTAAATGAAAACTGCAGCAGAAATCACAGGCCTCCTGATGATCTGAATATAAGTAAATTAGTTCAATTAAAAGACATCTTGCTTTTGCAGAAGCTACTGGAATGAGAATATTAAGACAGGTCACAACAGCCATGGAAAATCACCACTAACAGAATACGTTTGATGAGACAGAGATGAAAAAACAAAAACAAGACAGAGAGGGAAGGGGGATGCAGTGCAGTCTAGCACATTTTCCACTAACTGCCCTTCCATCATAATAATACATATTTGTAAAGACTAGTCCAAGTCCAATATTTAGTAGACTGCACTGAAAATAAACCCATGAACTTTTTAGTTCAATGCAAGATGCTGGTATTTTTCCCCAAGCTGTATCTTCCTCTCAAACCCCCCCCCCCCAGCAGAACTCCTGTCTCCTTAAAAACATACTAATTCATGATGCAGAAAGCTTTAAAATCACTTTGGTTCTGCACATTGACTAACATCCATCTTCATCTTTTTATCTTCCCTTCAAAAAGGCGTAATATTTCAGTATCATTACAAAAGGGTAACATATAACTTACTCTAGAACCCATTTCTAGGATCCCAACTCAAAACCCATACAGGCCAGGAACAAGTTGTGTATACAAAACAAACTAAAGCACCACAAAATAGGAAACTATAAAAGCATGTACTTCAACTTGAGAAGACATCATTTGCATTGACTTGCCTGACCACAGTTTGAAATGTTTCAAGACTGAGGACATGCGCTGTCACTTATCTAATAAATTTACACTTCTATACAAAGACAAATACGACTTTGATGAATCCAATTTTTTTTTTTATTTCAGTGTATTTTAAGTGGAACCTGGAAAGGAACAAAAATAGGGTTGTATAAACCCTGGGTATAAAACCCATGTTTTAATTGAAAGCGAATCTTCCCCACAACGCATAAACTGAAATAAGTTAAAAATCAACAGAAAACTGTCATTTCATGCCACTGATGGGAGACGCTCATCTTAAGCTTCTGTTCCATAGCCTCACAAGAACTAGATCATTTAAAAAAAAATTACTAGGTGAGATCTGGTCCACACATCATCAGGCATTGAAGAAAATTTAACATGGGCGATGGTCTGGGACGCGTTTTCTAGAGAGAAAAAGAAAAGTCAGAATGTTTTCCCCCACTGATGTCTACCTGTCATTCCCCCCCACAACTTATTTTTATTTTTTTAGTTCATAGTTTATGTTCAATACTAGGTTTTATCTCACATCACAAAAGGCAGCATTCTGTAAGAGTTATGCACCAGCTCTGACCATGGTTTAAAAAAAAAAAAAAAAAAGATTCAAAAAACAGTGAAAATTATCTTGTAGTAGGCATACGTGGGTTAACCTGCCCACAAGTGGAATTTCTTCCAAGCCTCATTTATAACAAATGGATTTTTTGTTTTAGCTGCAGATTCACTTCAGAAGCAGCTGGGAATTTAACTACCACCTTCGCCCACCTCAAAAGTGGAAAAAAAGGGACAAAAAAAAAAGCCAGTGTGATACCTTACATTTTGCTCAGCCAGAATTCACTTTTGCAGATATCCAAATACTATATATGGCACATGAGTAACTGGCAACTGAAGATTAACTAGGCAAGGCATGGGCATGCTAATCTAAGCATGCTACTGGCTTTTATTAAAAGCTTGTTCATAGCGCTAATGCATAATGCAAAACATAATCATATGAAATGAATGTTAGCATGTCAGATATCAGTATTCATTTCAGATAGAGTATTTTTAAACAAGACTTTTCTGCACAGCTACTTTTTCACAGAAGGTCATTCTAACAGTACTATAATTGACCAATGTAGATATTCTAATAATACCTTGGTGCCGCTTTAATAATGTCATCTACGCGAAGAATCATTTCTGCTGCTTCAGCTGCACTCAGCAAAACCTGTCTCTTGACTTGGAAACTTTCTGTTACTCCCAAGACTGCCATGTCTCCAATGATACCGTCCTTCATATCTTTAAAGAAAAAGACATTATGGGGTTTTTTGTGTTTGTTTTTAAGAACATTTTAAAAAACTGACAGCACGATAGCTTTCCTGCTCAACTGAACCATATTGATAGTAGGGGGAAATTAAAGTCTAAATAACTTTCACCTGAAGGTTAATGATTTAAGCTTATCTTGTTGCAACTACATACAAAGGTTTAATGTTGAAAACTTCATACCACTGGGAAATTGGTAATTGGTTTCATAGGTGGAAATCATCCTCTTCAAAAATGATAAAGGAATATAACAGATTGGATGGTTACATTCTGTGCAAAGCAGACAGAACTAACATAAATGTCCGCATTATCAGGTTGCTACACAAGCAAGTTAAAGTGACTAACTGCATACATCCTGAAACTTCTGCTCAATATGAAACACATCTACCATTGAAGCTCTTTAGGCCTAGTGTAATATATGAACTTGAAGTAGTAAATTCTTTACTATAGTTGTTCTTTTCAAGCATTTATTGCTATTCCAAGCAATAAACTGCAACGTTATTGACTACAGCAACAGAAATTTCCAGTTTATACAAATAGTTCATCTTCTATTTACCATCACTTTCTGACATTATTTGATCTTGTTCACCAGAGTAGTAATTGAACCACAGAACTGTGATGTAGAACCAACACTGTATCAAGGAATAAATTTAAGTTACCTGCAGAGATTTCTATTTCCCTGAAAACAAAATGAATTTAGAAAAAACAAACAGATTCACAGAGTAACAGGAGTGCGACCTGATAATGCAGGCTTTTAAAGAAGAAGAAAGCATGCACTGTGGCATTAATGTATTCACTTCTTCCAGCTGAATGCATCAGTGACAAACAGATGTGACAAAGTTTAAGGAGCCTAATCCACACCAAACACCAATCCAACAGAAGTAATATCAAGCTACTTACCAAGTCCATAAGTCGTTTTGCCCTCACTGTGAGCAGCTCTGAGCTGAGCAACCAAATCTGCACTGTCATAGCCAGCATTATCAGCTATGATTGTT